AAACTTCACCTGTCTGCCAGAACTCAGGTACTGTGCAAGGACAATGTCAAGGACATACCAAAGCTGTACTGATACCTATTCTTTGGTTTTGTGAGGATAGCCTTTCCTGTAGGTACAACTTCCAGTCAGGGTTTTCCATTGGGAAAAAACACGGGTTTAAAGGGCCACTAGGGTTAGAACTTAGTGACAGAACATGTCCTTAGCATGATTCCTAGCACTACAAACAAAACAAAATTACACCCAAAATTAAATGTAAACAGAAACTGGTTTAGTAGACAAGGAGCAGCACTTAGCTCACTGGGCCCTTGGTAAGAAGTCAGGGCAAGAACACAGCAGGTGGACATAGACACCTGGGTTCTGAGCCTTTCTACTAGGCTGCCATCTTCACACAGAACAGGACAGATAACTAAGGTCTTTACTCAATAAACCCTCTGCCCAGAGTGATGATGGCTGGACAACGAAGATCACAGAAGTCTCTAGGCAGCTATGAAGATGGCTGCTAAAGCTAGAGACTGCTAGTCAGTGTCTCAGGACTCCACTTGACAGAAAGGATTTAAATGGCACTTCAGAGTTGAGTCAGCTCTTCCCTCCCTGGATCAGCCAAAGTACAGCCTGGAACTAGCAGAAACACGAAACCACAACAAGCCAACAACACAGGTGAGCTCACTACTAGGCACCCACTAAGCAAATAAATGCTCTCTTCATGAAGCCTTTGCTCCCCCTCCCTCCAGAACAATGTAAGGCCAAGGGACAGATTCATGGCCAAAGACAATGTCATCAGTGCCTCTGGGGTGTGCCAGTCAGCAGGGCACAACAGGGACAGCAGGCACTACTTGGCAGATGCTAACCATCCATTGTCCCCAGCCCCACTGCCAATTTCAGTGACACCTATGAGAATATATGGAGCTTTCAACTGAGCAACCTAGGCACAAAACAAGCCTCTGTTCAACTGTGCATCTGAAATCACCATTCCTGCACACATATCTACCCAAATAAGGTAGGGAGGTATGACAAGGTAGGGGTGCCTTATATGGTGATTATGAGGTGCTGCCTCTTTTCTAAGAACTCTAAAATGCTCTCAGGGTAAGGATCCTCTCAGGAATGGGGGGGGGGGGCAGGTAGAGAGACATTTACAAGAATGGAGCCAATCCAGGGTACTGTACAAGGATGAATAGAACAGAGGCCCAGTCAAGTGTGGTGCTAAATGCCTACATCCCAGCACTCAGGAGATAAAGGCATAAGGATTAGGAGTTCAAGGCCATCTTTGGCTACACAGTGAGTTCAAAGCCAGCCTGGGTTACATGAGATCCTATCTTGAAAAAAACAGAAAACAGCAGCTAAAGAAATGGCTCAGGAATTAAAAGCACTGGCTGATCTTGCAGAGGATTTGGGTTCGGTTCCCAGCACCCAAATGGCAGCTAACAATGCCTGTATGTAATTCTAGTTCTGGGGATCTGACTCTTCTGACCTCTGAGAGCATTGCATGACATGGGTTTACATACACGCAGGCAATACATTCATACACATAAAATAAAAATAATAATAAATTAAAAAAAAATTTTTTTAGGTCTTTTTGAGACAGGGTCTCCCTGTAGCCCCAGCTGACCTGGAACTTGCTATGTAAACCAGTCTGGCCTCGAACTCACAGAGGATCTGCCTGCCTCTGCCTCCTGAGTGCTGGGATTAAAGGCGTACACCACCACGCCCAGCATTTTTTGGGTTTTTAAAAAATATTTTAAGATGGCCAGGTGTGGTGGCACATGTCTTTAAGCCCAGCACTCAGGAGGCCAGCCTGGTCTACAGAGCAAGTTCCAGGCAGCTGGAGCTACAGGGAGACCTTGTCTCAAAAAGACCAAAAAACCCCAAACAAACAAAAAAAACCCAGAAAATGCCAGGAATGGTGGCACACGCTTTTAGTCGCAGCACTTGGGAGATAGAGGCAGGTAGATCTCTGTAAGTTCAAGGCCAGCTGAGGATACAGAGACCCTGTCTCAAAAGACCAAAAAAAAACCACCATCACCACCACCACCACCAACAAAACCCTGAGGCACTCCAAAAAATACCATGGAGGCTGGAGAGATGGCTCAGCGGTTAAGAGCACTCACTGACTGCTCTTACAGGGGACCCAGGTTTGATTCCCAGCACCCACATGGCGACTACGAACCGTCCTTAACTCCAGTTCCAGGGGAATCCGAAGCCCTCTTCTGACCTCTGAGGCACTGCACGACATGGGTGCACTCACATACATGCAGGCAATACACTCATACACATAAAATAAAAGTAAAAAAAAATATTTTTTAAACTACCATGAAAATATTCTCAAGGATTACATAAATAATAACATCCACACAATAAGATACTACTGAGTCACTAAAAACATTGCTGATGAGCATTTGGGGACTTGGAAAGGTGCTCATAATTTCCTAAATGGAAAAAAAAAAAAACATATACTCAGCATGCCAAAAAAAATTAAAAAACAAGGTCTGGAAGGATAAACACTAGGGAATTGAGAGGTTATCCCTGGGTGTTCCAATTTTTATTTTCTTTTAGTTGTATCTATAGTTCTTAATTTTTCCATAATAAAATAAAAAGAGAAAGGTTATTATTTTTTACATTTACTTACTTTTTTATTTTGTATGTGGGTATGTGTGCATTCATATACCACAGTATGCATATGGAGGCAGAATACAACCCTAGTCAGGTCTCCTGTTCCTACCATCTGGGTTCCAGGGATCAAACTCAGGTTGTCAGGCTTGGCAGCCAGTGCCTTTACCATCTCTTAATGTTAAGATATTATCTTAATATTAGTACATTACAATGGGGGCTAGAGAGAGAACTCAGTGGTTAAGAACACATTCTGCTCTTCAAGAGTTCCAGTTCTGTGGATATTGCGCACACAGGTGCACTTACATGTAATCAAAACACTCATATACATAAAATAAAAATAAATAAATCATTATGGACACAGAGAAATAATGGTGAGTTAAGTCTGGAAGAAAATGCAGTCAAACTCCAAAGTAAACTTCTAAGCTGAAGGAAGATCCCCAACTTTCAGTGAACAGGTCTCAGCAGAGAAAGTGCTACATCTCTAATAAAAACAAAAACAAATTCTATTTTAATCTAGTTTTGAGGCAGAAGTAACGGCACTTCCAAATCATAAAGCTATTTGCCAACATCTTTATAAATGAGATCAAAAGAAAGAAGAGTCCAGTGGTGGCCACACACACCTTTAATTGCAGCACTTGAAAGGCAGAGGCCAAGTGGATCTCTATGAGATTGAGGCCAACCTGGTTTACACAGCAAGTTCCAGAGCAGCTGGGGTACAGGGAGACTATCTTGGGGTGGAGCAGGGAGAAGAAAAGCCTAAGAAACTTGTACAGGTGGCTGTACAAGTGAATGTGAAAGTCAAGGAGATATAGGAGGGGCCTAAGTGGGTACACCCACTGCTCTGCAAGCCACTCCAAACACACATCCATATATACCATGGAAACCAAAATCAACATTATATATAAGGCGAGACAAAATATGCAGGTTAGAAACTAAACTAGAGGCCAACTCGGCCTAACAGAGTTATGATTTTGTTTCAACTGTAACCAAATCAACTGCTTGAAGTTAAATCCAAGTTTTATTCCTTTCCTCCATCCTAGAATACCCCCATGAAAACCACCCTACTTTAGTCAATGATAGCAATGAAGCTGAGAGATAACAGTTCAAATAAGGATGTAAAGATTCATCTGGAGTCCAAAAGTTTTACAAAATGGACTAAACGCTCCATCTCCAATGCAAGACTATTTAGAACCATGGCTGTAGCATCTCCTAACTGAATAACCGCTTCCAAGAAGCATACATACCTTTGGAGTTCACCAGGAAGACAGAATTAGATTTGGTACCAGAAGATTCTAGTCCTGAGACTTTAATTTTTTATTTCTTTTTTTAAAATTTTTTTATTTTAAAATATTTTATTTATAGCAGGGCGTGGTGGCACACACCTTTAATCCCAGCACTTAGGAGGCAGAGGCAGGTGCTGTCTACTCACTGGAGAGGCATCCCAGTGTCGCCTCAGCATCTGCCTCTGTAAGACGGCACACTTAACATTCCCAAAAGAAACTGTCACACCCTGCAGAGATGATGCAGGCAAAGTGGCCCAGCTGCCTTTTCTTTTTTTAAAAAAATGTTTTGTTATTTTTATTTTATGTGTACGAGTGTACTGCCTGCATGTATGTGAGTGCATGTATGTGAGTGCACCCATGTTGTGCAATGCTGCAGAGGTCAGAAGAAGGATTTGCACGCCCCTGGAACTGGAGTTAAGGACAGTTTGTAGCCACCATGTGGGTGCTGGGAATCGAACCTGGGTCTTCTGCAAGAACAGTCAGTGCTTTTAACCGCTGAGCCATCTCTTCAGCCCCTAATTTTTATTTATTTTTATTTTATGTGTATGAGTGTTTTGCATGCATGCATCTAACTGCACACATGCATGCAATGCCCATGGAGGCCAGAAGAGGGTGTTAGATCCCCTGAAACTATAAAGACGGTTGTTAGCTGCCATGTGGGTGCTGGGAACAGAACTTGGGTTCTCTGCCAAGAGCAGCCAATGCCTTTAACCGCTAAGCCATTTCTCCAGCAATCCCCCCACTTAAAATTTTTTTTGTCATGTGACTTTAAATAGAGCAAGAAGGTACACAAAACAGTAAGGACAACTACAAAACTGTCCTTGTCCTAAAGCTGAATAGTAAACTTAGAAGCTTTCTTTGGAGTTTGACTGCATTTTCTAGCCTTCCTTCCCGACTTAACTCACCATTATTTGTCTGTGTCCATTTCTCTTGATCACATTTATCACTTAGGTCAAGACTCAAAGGTTTAAGTATAAACTAGATTCAGCCTAGATTAAACTCATTCTCCAGAATACCGAATACCTGCATGAGGCCCTGAATTCAATCTCAGAACTCTACCCACCAAAAATAATTCACACTTATTCCAACTTTTCAAAAAAGTCAAATCTAGTGCTCACTTCAGCAGCACATATACTAAAATTGGAACAATACAGAAAAGGTTAGCATGGCCCCTGCGCAGGGATGACATGTAAATCTGTGAAGCAGTCCATATTTTTTTTTAAAAAGTCAAACAAATCTAACACTGGGATCACCTTCTCAAATAGCAAGAAATCACCTGGAGCTGGTGGTGACTATTCCCTCAAGCCAAAACTCCAGTTTACAAAGGTCCCCCACCACTTCCTCTTGCCTAAGGCCAAGGCTACTACAGCTTTTACCTATATAATTCTCATAATAAATACTTTCCTGTAACTATGACATCGAAAGAAGGAAAATAAGACAGCAGAGGGTCCCTTGGTCTTAGAGGTGGCCTGCTTTATATCCTCGTCATTGTGGACATTTAAGTGTGACTTCTGACCCCAGATAAACAATGTTAAGAAAATGGTATTAACAGGATCACTTTACAGACAGTGATATGGCAATCTCCAATGCATGATGGGGAAATCAATTCCCAAGTCCTTCTAATCTATGGGAAGTCTTAGAGAAGGTCACTTTCCAACCATTCCTGCTTTTACTATACACAGTGAAGACAGGATATCGAGGATTTGTAGACACTGATATATTCAGGATTATTAGGGTCATGTAGTCCTGCACTTTCCAAATTAGATTTCCTACAGATAATATTAAAAATCTGAAGAAAAGGGGCTGGACGTGGTGGTGCATGCCTTTAATCCCAGGACTCAGAAGGCAGAGGCAGGTAGATCTTTGTGAGTTTGAGGCCAGCCTGGTCTCCACAGTGAATCCAGGACAACTGGGGCTACAGGGAGACCCTGGCTCAAAAAGACCAAAAAAAAAAAAAAAAAAAAAAAAAAAAAAAAAAAAAAAAAAAACCTGCTTTGTTTTTCTTTTAAATGGCCCATAATTCCCTATATCCCAGCACATGTTAAACTGAGGGTGGAGGATTATGAGTTCAAAGCCAGCCTGAGTTACACACTGACAAACAGGGCTGAGAATGTAGCTCAGTGGGAGAATATTTTCCTAGCATACACAAAGCTCTGGGCTTGATCCCTGGGCAGCACTAAAAACCAAAACTAAAACAACAGCCTGACTGGGGTGGTTCACACCTATAATCCTAGCACCTGGAAGACTGAGGTAGAAGAATCACTGTGAGTCTTGGGGCCAGCAGGGGTTCCATAGTGAGACTTGACCTCAAAAACAAAAACAGGGCTAGAGAGGAGGCTCAACAGTAAAGTCTTGCTTCATGCAAGCCCAACAACCTGAGTTTGATCCCAGGAACCCATATGGTAGTTGGAGAGAACTGAGTCCATCAAGTTGTCCTCTGATCTCCACATACACACTATCACACACACACACACACAGAGAGAGAGAGAGAGAGAGAGAGAGAGAGAGAGAGAGAGTCTTCACACACATATACATACAAATAATAAACTTTAAAAAATAAAATAAGGTGGGAACATTCAAAACAACAAATAGGCTATAAAAACATCAGCATCATCCAGAAATACCTCTCATGCCTATTCCCAGCCAGATCCTCTCCACCAACCAAGCAACAATTTTATTTGATTTTGCTTTTCTTTTTTTTGAGAGGATCTCATGTAGCTATGTAGTTTAGGCTGGCTTTGAACTCCTGATCCTCCTGATCCACCAGAGTACTGAAATTATAGGCCTGTGCTACCATGTCTGACTCACAAGTACTGAGCTTGCTTTTCACTAGGGATCAGTTTAGTCAATTTTTGAACTTCATATAAATGGAATCAGTATATACTCTTCTAGGTTATTTCATTATGTTGAATCAAATACTTGCCCTTTTTTTGTTTTTGTTTTTTTTTAAATATAAGTTCTCAGGCCCAAGCTGGCCAACTTTCTATGTAGCCGAGGATGACCTTGAACTTCCAATCTTTCTTGCCTCCAACTAGGATTATAGGTGTGCCCCATGCCCAGTTTATGCAGTGCTGAGGATCGAACCTAGTATTTAATGCAACTTTATCAACTAAGCTAAATCCTCAGGTCCTTAAGCTATTCCACTTAACATGTTTCTTAAATTTAATCATGTTGTTGCACACAGTAGTTGCTTCTTTTCATTACTGAATGCAATTTGTTCTAGGATAATATCACTCAAAACCTAAGGTCCATATTAGAAAACATGATGCTAAGCAAATTGTAGTGGTGTATCTTTACAATCCCAGCACTTGGGGAGGTGGCAGCAGGAGGATGAGGAATTCAAGGTTATCCCTGGGCTACATACTGAATTTGAAGCCAAACTGGGCTACATGAAACTATCTCAAAAACTGAAGAAAAAAGAAAAAGAAAACATTATACCAAGTCATAGAAGTCATACTCAAAAGGCCACATATTATATGATCCCATGGTTATGAAATGTTCAGAAAAGACAAATCTACAGAGACAGATGAGCAATTATCTGGGGCTGGAGTGAGAACTGGGATTGAGTGTAAACTTGTAAACAGCAATGAAGGATCTTACAGATGGAATGCCCTAAAACTGGATTACAACAATGAACTTCACCAGTAAGAAAAACAATCACTGAGCTGTACACTTAAAATGGGTGCATTCTGGGGCTGGTGATGGCTCAGCGGTTAAGAGCACTGACTGCTCTTGCAGAGGACCCAGGTTCAATTCCCAGCACCCACATGACGGCTATGAACTGTCCTTAACTCCAGTTCCAGGGAAATCCGAAGCTCTCTTCTGATCTCCGCAGCATTGCACAACACAGATGCACTCACATACATGCAGGCAATACACTCATACACATAAAATAAAATAATAAATAAAATTTTTTTAAATGGGTACACTTTTATGGTCTTTAAGTTATACCCCAATAAACACTGCTTAAAGAAATAAGAAAACTTGTCTGACTACAAGTAGATGGAAGAGTTCTGCAACAAGGCAGAGAAGATCTGCTTAATAATTTAAAGCACAAAAGAGACAACTTTAAAGGCCCTGTTATGTATCTGGAAAACAGCAAACTATGTACTATTTTAATAATCAGTGGAAAGGGTAGTGAGGTAGATAAGGTGAATACAGAGCTTGTGTAGCACGCACAAGGGTTCAATCCTCAACACCGCACTAGAGCTGAGTGTGCTGGCACATGCCTATAATCCCAGCATTCAAGAGGCTGAGGCAGGAGGACTGAAGGCCAGCTTGGATTACATTGGAAGACCATGTCTTGAAAGGAAGGGAGGGAGGGAGGGAGAGAGGGAATCTCCTACTCTCAGAATATTCAACAAAGAAACTGCCACCAAAATCCTTATGGTTTTCCCTCTCCAATGGAGAGTCCCCCAGTCCTTTGTTTCTATCAATAACCTGACTCCCTCTATCATCTCTCTGAGTTACAGTCTCTTCATTGTTATCCAAGCAGGATTCTGCACACTCGTCTAAGGCTCAAGGACTAAGGACAAAGAATTCTGTTTCTGGATTTATTTTTCACACCTTGGACTCCTCTCTGATGCTACCAATGTCAGTCTTTCTCCATGGCCTCATAGATTTTTCTGATGATGCAGGCTAGCCCTAAATACATCAAACACATTAGGCTTGGAGAGCCTTCTTTAGGGAATCCAAGACCAGATGGTATTTCTCTATAACTAGACCACAGAAATAAAAATCTTTCAAAATCCAGGGAAGCAGGAAAAACTCTACCATTCAGAAAGCAACCTCCAAACTCCAAAGTCTCTCCTCCTGAAAGACCCTCAAGAAGCACAGCAGAGCCAGGTGTGGTGGTGTGTGCCGTTTATTCCTGTACGTGGGAGGGGGGCAGGCAGACAGATCTCTGGAAAACTGAGGCCAGCTTCGTCTACATAGTGAGTTCCAGGCCATCTGGGGCTACAGGAAGCCCTGTTTAAAAAAAAAAAAAAGGCATAGCAGATCCAGGAGGATTGCTGCAAGTTTGAGAGAAGCCTAGGCTACAGTAAGACCCTGTGTCAAAGCATACAAAATGAGAGCAGAAAAGATTAATATTAATATGGGCTCACAAGCTAGGGCAGCATGGCCAAAAGAAAGAACCCAAGTTCTTGGAATGGGCAGGATATTGCACAACTGTGGGGCCCACCAGTCTGATAGCCCTTGGAAGCTGCCCACACATGTCTCTGGCTGTTGGGACAGCTTTAAGAGTCAAGTTTGTGTACTATACGGTTCTCAACATAATATTAAGCAGCCATAAAGGGGACTGATGGCTCCAGTGGCTCAGCCATAATGTGAAAAGTCTATTATTTCCTTCCTTCCCTCCCTCCCTCCTTTGCATCTCCCATGTCTAATTCATTAGCAACTCCAAAACCACCTTGGATCCATGTACCGGTCACCACTCCACTATGGCCATCCTGGTCTGAGAAGAAAGGTAAACAACTTTCAAGTAGGATGTTCATTTCAATTCTGGCCTCTATAGATTAGTTTCCTATAGAGTAATCCCCTATAGACGAGTCACAATGAGCTGCCCTGTGGAGGTAAATCAGTACTCCCAATGCAGTGAAAATAATGTCCTCACTTCTTACCATGCCCAGTAAGGCCCCTTGCCTCTTCAAGATAACCTGTTCCTACTCCCTTGGCCCTCAACATCCAGTCCTTCTGGTCTCCTTTCTAATCCGAGAATGTGCCATGCTTACTCTACCTTGGGCCTCTTCTACTGCCTGGAATAACTATCCATGCCTGGCTTCTACTTTTCACTCAGGTTTCAGGTTAACTTGAAATGTCACCTCCTCATAAGACTTCTCTGAGAAGCTCAAAGTTTCTGCCCACCCTCCTTTTTCTAGCCTTCATTTTATTTTATTTTATTTTATTTTATTTTATTTTATTTTTTTATCTTTTTGAGACAGGGTCTCCATGTAGCCTCAGCTGGCCTGGAACTCACTATGTAAAACGGGCTAGCCTTGAACTCACAGAGATCAACCTGTCTCTGCTTCCCAGTGCTGGAATTAAAGGTGTTTGCCACCATACAAAATCTGATTTGCTTATTGACTCCCACCAAAATGGAAGTTCTGTGATGGGAGACGACAGCTATTGGTTTACTGTATTCCCTAGGGATAACCTATGCCTGGCATACAGGGTGGCCTCATGAATGCATGTTGAGAAATGAGCACTTGGGCAGACA